GCTCAGGCAGCGGAATTTCAAAGATATAGAGAAGCTCCCTTTTAAAGCGCTTAAGATTTCTGCAATGAGTGGCAGCAGTAATCGACTATTCATCAGTGGGCATATTAATGGAGTTCCTTGCAATATGACTATCGACACGGAAAATAATGTTACCATCATCTAGAAAGATTTAACTCGACAATTTAAAGATGAACTCATTTGGACGCTTTCCGGCGTCACCCTTCAAACTGTGTCTGGTGACAAAATCAAATTTGATGGGAAGTTAAACATAAACATCACCTTTGAAAGTGCCACCTACCATCACATGGTATATATGGCAGATAACCCTTGCATGCGTGTATTGGACTTCCTAAGGAAATGCAACATCTTCTTGGACTTTAAAAACAACAAACTGCATTCAGCTTCTGAAGACATCACTATCCGTCATCGGAAGGGATCATCACATGGAAACGCCAAAGCCCTGTCTAGAAGATCTTGCCCAGAAAGCTGCCGGTATTGTTGTTATAGGGCGAAGCGAAATACGAGCTGCTTAATCCGGCCGCAAAACATATTACAACATCAACATCGGCTGATCGAGACTCATGAACTCACAAAGAAGTCAGGAAAGACCAGCTGGAAGAGGGCGACATTAAAGTCATATTTGATCTAATGGAGTCTTCAAACAGAAACCTAATTTCGTTTGTTTGTCCTACAACAAAACAATATTGATCTCTCCATAGCTCACTCCATATTTGAAACGGCGTCTTGTATCTGAAATTCGAATCTGATGATGACTTTCCGATTGTATATGATACTTCCAAGATCGCGGACGTTCTTAAGGAACTATACGTACTTAGTAGCCCTATAGAAGGCCACTTCGGAGTAGTGAAGACTTTATAGAGAATTCTAGAACGCTTCTGCTAAAGAAATGCAAAGGATGATGTGCAAACGTTGTGCCAGTTTTACGATGCTTGGGAGGGTTGGAAAGGATCTAAGAAGCGCAGCCGAGGCAAGATGCAACGTTACAGTGCAGGAGCAGCTTTTGAACGCATAAGAGATTCTGCGACCTCTGCCACGAACTGCTGATGGCAACAAATACATCCTGGTTGTCACTGATTACCTCATCAAGTGGCTCAAAGCATATCTTCTCTTCATGAAGAGGCTCTCACGGTGGCAGAGGTAATAGTACAACATCGGAATTTAAAATTCGGAGTGCATCTTCTGTTACATTCCAATCAAAGAAGAATTTTTGGATCAGGTGTAATTAAATAACTCTTACCCGTCATTTATAAAACCCAAGCGACACTTTTACATCCTTTTGTGAATAACTATTTTCCTAAGAGTTGGAAAGTCGCTAAAGTCATTCTCTTACCTAATCCAGGTAAAGATAAACCTGAGGGTTTTCGCCCTATTAGTCTTTTGCCTGGTTTAGGCAAAATCTACGAAAGAATTATTTTAAGAAAAATGGATCCTTATCTGGCCAAATTACCACCCGAACATTTCGTATTTAGAAAATCACTCTCCACGACAAAGCAGCTTGTCCGTCTTAATGAATTTATTGGATCAGCGCTTCACAATCATCAGAAGGTACCCTTACTCATGCTAGACGTGGCAATAGCCTTCCACCGCGTCTGGCATGAGGGACTGATATTCAAATTAATCTGCTTAGATTTTAACAGGGATCTTATACTACTCATTTACTCTTTTATCAAAAATCGGAAGTTCTTTGTAAATATAGGCAAAGATAATTCTGTTCAGAAAAGGCTAAACGCAGGAGTAGCTCAGGAGTCCATTTTGGGCCCAATCATGTATATTTTCTACTTGGCGGATTTTCCGCGTGTTTTCAATGATTTAAATGGCTTCGTAGGTTGCTTTGTTGATGTTACGGCCCTCGCCGTAAAGTCACTTAACGTAGAAAATGCCTTAAATAAATTGCAGCGCATTACTCCACAGATAGAACATTGGTGCACAGTGTGGAGAATCTCTTTAATGAACAGAAGTCTCAGCTTCTAATCATTCAGAAAAAGGCCAAAAGAACCCTCGCCACTGCCAGACTTAAACCTTTCGATGTTCATATAGTGCAAAAAGCAAACTACTTGAGTGTCACTCTTAACAGTAAATTCACATAGAGCGACCACATTAATAAGGTTCGAGGCAGAGCTATCTTCACAATGAAAAATCTACTTCTGTTGGTAGGGAATACTCCAAACTGGATCTCCTGAGGAAGAGAAATGTATACACTGCTATTATTAGACCCATCTTTACGTGTGCTTCGCCGGCATGGGCGGCGGTCGACAAGAAGGATTTAAATAAATTGCAAATAGTTCAAAATAAATACTTAAGGCTCATCACCCAAGCACACTTCTACATGTCAAATGATACTCTACACAACGACCTTAAAATTGAATGCGTAGAAGAATTTATCAATCGTATGAATAGAAGTTTCTTTAATAAGGCTACGAATTGCTCACACTTACGAGAATTCAACACCTTCGAATATGTAATACTACCTGAGGATGCTAATATCAGACCTTACGCGGCCCACCTCACCCATGACTCGAATTTCCCGACTTAATTGCACCTTATGTATGTATGTGCATATAGTTATGTATATATTTTGCCTGGTTTAGGCATTTTATTCTTTTTCATTTTATTCTTTTATTCTCATTTTACCGTACTGACTTATTTTAGTATATAAAACTTTGCATTTTATGCATTTTCTTCTTATGTAAACATCAGTCAGATACCGACACTCTTGTCAAGCCTCTCCTGGTCTTCATTCTTGTTTGGTTTTCTAAAACCTTGTGGCGTATGGTCACCCCCATTTTTTTCACCTCAGACCTCCTCTTACTCTGTCCGACTGTTACGACATGCGCCTCTTGGGCAGATTTGTCATTGAGCCGGCAACATCGCACATATTAGCGATAGCCCGGCAATACATGTATTGATTGATTGATTGATGCATCCCTAATCATACGGTTATCGTAGACAAGAAGTTATCTTTGTGTTTATTGGCTCATCGTAGTGCTGTAGAGGAGACTTCTGGCTATTTCCATTCCAGATGCTCTTCGGTCGTGACCTTCATCTGCCTTGTGATCTGTCGTTTAGTCGCCCTCAGTTTGCGCGTTCATCGCCTGAAAAGTACACCCAAGACCTCCAGGTCCGGTTTGAAGCGATGCACAGTTTTGAACGAAACAGATTCAGATTGGAGATGGCGAAGATGAAAACATGATATAACACGAGAGCTAGAGGTTATCGACTCAACGATGGAGACAAGGTATGGTTGTGGAATCTCATTCGACGGAAAGGACTTTCCTAAACTACAGTCACCTTGGGATGGTCCGCTCACAGTTCTAAAGACGCTGAGCGAAGTCGTAGTTCAGATCCCTAAATCATCGAATTGTAATAATCGAATTGTAAGTCTAATGTCGTTCAGTACGACAGGCTAGCTCTTTACTATGGCCATAGTACATGGTGCACATACCGCAAACATTAGAAGACCATGGTCCTATCTGTTTCCAAATTTGTAAATCTGAGCACTCATTTATTGATTTAGTATCTGATGTGTTTTGTCTTATTTATTTTAATTATTGTTTAAGTATTGCATTGATTTTCCTTAGTTGTAAGTATGGCTTCCTGTCTAGGGATTGTCGTATTGCGCGGGACGTGCAGTCCTTGGGAAGGGGGCAATATTACGGATTTTGTACTTAGATAAGTAATTTTAGTAACCAAACATGTTGTATTTCTTTTGTGACATGGAAAATCCTAAGAGAAGCTATTCCGGAAAAGTAAGAATACAGCGGCAAGTGCAGTTAACCTGGAGTAAATCGGTATCTCGGTTATATGGCGAGATGTCACCAAGCAGACAACGGTTTTCGCAACTTATTTTGTCTCAATTTGGAGAATATTCGCTAAACTCGGCGACAGTTTGGTCCGGTCTTTGTATCAACGTATGTATTGAAATTGAAATAACTGTAATTGACCCACTATGTTAGCTGTAACAGTAATTCCACACTCGCATTGCTTTCCAGTAATTTCAAGAAGCAGAAAGTACTAGAAATATCTCGGTGGCCGGTTGAAAACTATTTAAGACTGAAGAGAGAGCATCTGCTTTCAGTGGCTAGCTGTGTTGCGAAATGTAAGTTTCGCGTGAACTAATATCCGAGTTAGTTTCTCTTTAGATGCACTTTGCATTTCGTTGTGTTAAACGTTCTAAGGAGTTTGGTCTGTAACTATTGATCGTACTGTGTGATACTGTGAACTCCTACATGAGTTTTACTGCGAAAAATTCTAGAACCTTGAAGTGTTTATTTTGATAAGATGGTTTTTATTAATCTATTATGGGAACTATGTTCATTGAATGTATTACGAACCCGAAAACAGTATTAGGAACAATTTAGAAAAGAATAGGAAAATGTTCAACTTAATTCCAATTACCGTATTTGCCGGCGTATAAGACGCATCCCCCTTTTTATAGACATTTTTGAAGGATAAAACTTTATTAGTGATCATTATGATGAATTTACAGTATTTTAAATGTAAAGTAATACAAATACAAAGTAATTATTTCTGCAAATACCCAATCTATCTGGGAAAGAAAATTTTTTAATTTTTTTCATCCAAACCCAGATACTCATCTCCAGAACTAAATGAAGAGTCACTTCAGACCTCTTCTAAATAAGCATCTGAGTCCTCATACAACCAAATTGTCCATCCAGTGCTTTTCTAATGCTACACAAGGGGGCTTTAGTTGATCTCGCATAGATGAACTGGAGTTTTAAAATGGAGTTTTTAGAAGTGCAAGTATCTTATATTTTCAATAAATATGGCAACTAACATTGTATAATCTGGCATTTTTAATTGTAGCATGGGTATTTAAATTATCTCCATTTTATTTCATCATACTAAAGGCATTTAATTTATGAAATATTAATAGTTCATAAAAATGAAATTATATTGGATATAGTCATTTGAAGAATTTTTAATATTTCTCCTCTCTCTCTTTTTTATGTACTTTAAAGTGAGTTCTTATAGTGGAAAAGAAAAGGATTGTTGTCTACTTGGAATGAATAACGATATATATAACAGATCTTGTGAAAATAGAACCGACATAGTTATTCGGTATTTGCAAGGAAAGCATGAGAATTGCTCTAAAGCATTTCTGAAGTGCTGCCTAGAAGAAGGTAACTTTGAATTCACATATATGAAGCTTATAACTAAGGAATTAATTTGTGTTTAGTTTTCAGTTTTTATATACAAATCTGTAATATGACTGTTTAAATGTTTTCTTTTGTTTACTACCTTGATGGAGATAAAGTTAGATGCATATTCTTTTGAATTTATTAGAGGGTAGTGTAAATACTTTGATCATGTTATATTAAACTCTAATTTGGTAAACGTTTCCTGAGATAGAAAAATGAGAACACTTTAGTTTACTGTCGATATCTCGAAATGTTTCATCAAGGGGGGCTATAATTGGATCTTTTCAAATACCTATAGATTAACGCAGTGAGAAAAGGCTACGCTACTGAAATGATGAAAGCTAAGTTACACATAGGAATGGTAGAAAAGAATTTTGTAATTTTAAGGAGCTCAGAATGAAATTACATACGTATTGAAAATTTGTGAAGTACTGAGCGTTTTCCATGAAATGATGCTGATTTTGTTTTTTCCTTTATTCTTGTATGATGTAATTATAACCTTCTTTAGATTGCAGAGTTTGTTAAAATACTTATTACTGTTAAAATACTGTTATTAAAGTATTTACCTTCATGTATTTGACGGCGTCATTTGTCTTCCTAATTCTGCGTTCATAACTTCTCAAGTTCCATGCATTTAAGGCAAGAAAATCGCTAAAAAAGACTGATTTTATTTGATCATAAGTGTACGTATTGTGCAGATATTCTAAGCAAACAGTATTCAAGTTTTCAAAGAAGTTTTCTTTTTCCATGTTTTCAATTTTTATGTAGCTCATTAGCTTTTATTGCTTAAAACTCAAGCGGTTTTAGAAATGAAAATCCATAGGGCCAATTTCCTGTAAAACTTGCCTTTGCTATGACCATCAATAAGTCTCAGGGGGTCAAACGCTTAAGCGTGTTGGCATTTTTTTTAACTGAGCCTGCATTTGGACACGGTCAACTTTATGTTGCCTGTTCAAGAGTTCGGGAAAGGACTCTAAATTAAACGTAAACTAACGTAAAAGTAAAAATAATTTATGGTCCTATGCAAGGCGAGCTTAGAAATGATGGAAAGATTTACACAAGATATGTTGTACAAAGAGATCTTTCACCATTGAATTAAATTTTTTATTTAAATCACCTTTATTTTATTTAGCGGTAGCCTTAGAAATGTACGCCAGTGGTTTCCTTCATGTACTCTACTTAAAAATGAGCAAGTAAAGGGGAAACCACGTGGGGCAGTAAGAAGGGTCGTCCTCGCAGCCGCTACTCTGGTAATTCAAGTTTAAATTAGCAGACACCTTTTCACAATCATTTTAATTACAATTTATAATATCTAGAACAGCGGTCATTTCGTATGACCGTCGGGCTTTCTAGTTTCATGTATACTGCAATAAAAAGTGCAAACACATTCCCTTACAGTCTTCTATTTACTTTTATTGCTACTATTTACATATATAATTTTGCTAATATTCGATCTAACCTCTCTGAAAGTTTTTACAAGAAATCCTCGATGCTTTAATAATTTTTTACAGGAAATTTCGTGGGAAAACGTTTTCAAGAATATTGCTTAAAGCGTGACAAACGCCATGTGAAAAAGACATAAATATTACTAGAAACCCATTGGTCCATTCAAGAAGCCACTTCCTCTGTGGCGATATAGAAGTGCACTTATGAAATATGCGTGCCATGATAACGCAGTTTCTCTCCTCTGCTGAATGTAGGTATCTATGTAATGCTATGCTTTGCTTGTGCGTGCGTAGAATCTATGTAATGCTATGCTTTCTCTTATGCGTACGCTGTCAATGGCCATCGCTGTAATTAAAATGTCGATTAATGTTATAACCTGTTTTGGCCCATTTTCCCTTCAGTATTGTTAAGCAATTTATCTCTTGTTTATTACTTTAATTTTCCTTATGTTAATTAAAATTATGTTATTGTAGTTTCACACTTAATTTAATTTATTTCTTATTTGTTTAAAGCTTTAATTGACCATTAATAAATGTAAACAATATTATTCGCATTTTAATGTTGAATGTTTCAATGCATCGTTTGCCTATAACCTGGAATGCAATTTCTCCAAATTTAAAGTTAAATTTGTTATTTTTTATTTTATCAAATTTTTTTGTTTGATCTTTGAAAATGAATACATATCTGATAGGAACTGATCAAAATTGATAATTCTAATACTTCTATATGAACATCATAAAATAAAGAGATTTAATTTATTTATTAAATTAAGCTTTATTATTTTCTACAATAAAATCTACATAAGATATACGTCAAGCATTAAAAAAAGTGTTACTTATTGAAAACGTTAATCAAATCGTAGAATCAGTAGGTTATTTTGAAGCAGGAGACATAAAAAATGAGCAATACCCTCGCCAGGACTCGAACCTGGACCTCTCGAATGCGCACCGAGTATGCTATCGTCACACCACGAAGGCATGGTGTAAGGAGGGAGAAAATATCTTACATAATCCCCCTTTTAAAGGGCGACTGAGGATGAGGGGCGCCGCTGTAGATTTGTTAGGTATTTGTTGATGCGGGAGGCGCGTGAAAAATGACCAGTGCCCTCGGTGGGAATCGAACCATGGACTTCTCGAATATGCGCCGAGTGTGCTACCGTTACACCACGAAGGCATGCTAGAAGGAGAGGGAAAATACCTTAAAAGTTGTTTGAAGTAATAAATTGCTTTAAGCGAAAGAGTCATTGGAATAGCAATCTGCAATAAAACATGGCTTCTGTATGTTTCGAATTGACTCGAAGGCAGATAATTTTCAAAATATTACTGATTATAAAAATCTGCTTTTTAGTAATTCCGAGTCACTAGTAATTTTGAGTAGTGAATTCTAATGGTAAGATCAAATTGAATGGGATTGAAGTACACATTAGAATATCCAGAAGCAAATCAAGTTACAAAAGAAATAAGCTAAGAAATTTATTTGTGGTTTCAATGTTCCTGTTTCTGCAACTACAGTTAAGATTGAGGGAGAGAAAAATGAAAGTATGGTAAAAATGTCGTAAAAGTTACCACAACCTAATTGCAACTAGTTGAACCATTTTGCGATGTCTTTATGACGCCTTGCTTTACTTGGGTTAGGACTGGCAAAATAACTATAATAAATTGGTTGCGTGAATGGAACAGAGACGTGGAGAAATGCTTTAACTATTCTGTTAAAGTCTCTTCATTTAAAGGCACAGGGAAATTTTTATCTCAACCAGTTATATACAGCACCAAAAAATTCACTGATTATTGAAAACATTTTTAAAATATACTTCCGCTCTTACAGTTGCATCTATTAATTGTTATTATGTCTGAAACCTGCATATAAGCAGTGTACCTACATCAATATTTGATTGAAAACTTGATTGAGATAAATATTGTTGCCTGCGTACGGGTTCGTAATAAAGTAAATGCACATTTCCGATGAAAAATAAATAAAATTTATTCTTATTATAACAAATAAAATAAAATGCTGCAAATTCTTCAGAGATATTCGCACAATATAGCAATATCTCACAGTAGTTATATTTTAAACTATTAAAACGTTTTACAGAACACAATTCAAAACAGAGAAAGCTAACCCGATTTCACCGCGAATTCACTACAGTCAATAACAGCAATAAGTAAACAGCTGAACTGAGATGTTTTCCTCCAGCTTTTATAAGCTTCTAAAATGCACGCGAACATTCTCGTATTTTTTTATTTTATTTTTCTGAATAGCAAGAGTACAACTGCGAGATATCTATTTGTTAAAATTTTAAATGCCCGTGCTTTAGCAAATGAAACTACATATATAAAATCTATAAACCAAAGAACATGGCTAGTATCCATCATCTGTCTGCCTTCCTTTCATCACGTGAAGGCGGTATGATCGATGTATGACATCACATTTCTTTACGCTCCCTACTTCGAATCATAGAATAAAGTAGTATAAAGGTATTTCTCCCGCCTTCTAGCATGTCTTCGTGGTGTAGTGGTCAGCACGCTTGGCAGGTGACAGGTGACGGAGGACGGAGACGCCTGGTGTTTAACGGAGGTAAACAGGCATATGTCCCACGCCCTCCCCTATATAGATACAAGAACTCCCTGGGGTCCCACAAGGGCGCACCGGGGTTACTGACTTTATGAAAAAGTTTACATGGGATAACAGGGCTGACATTGGTTTACATTCTTATGTTAATGGTGACCTGGGTGTTCATAGGCCATAAGCATACTGGAAACATACATTACATACATGAATATGACATGGACATTAAAGTATAATAATACTGCATGATTATAAACAACTTTACATTCACATGACATTAGGACTACACATACATAAAGCTGACATTAATCTACCTTATTAGAGTATAACCTGACTGTATACTACGTTAAGCTAATGTATTGCGAACTTGCTAAGTTACTTTATAACTGGATGACTATAGTTTACATTATTGGATACTTCTTAAATGAATTAATGCTATATAACAAGATAGGCAAACATACTTTGCCTTATATATGCGTACTTAAAATACACATGGGGGCACGCGTTTACACGCGCTAATGACTACGTTACCGATTACGTTATGTTAAAAGTACACATAGTACACGTATTACACTCATTGATTAAATTACTTACATTACACTATTACTTACAATACTTTAATACACGTTTTTTATACACTTAATATTTACAATTTTAGACATAACACCTGCTAAGACAATATAGATATAGATTTTGCGCTGTGTATGCTATTATTCCTATGTTGGGTGGCAGACATCCTGTCCTAGGGCGCTGGCCCCTGTAACGTTCTTTATCTACTACAGGGTAGAATTCGAAAGTCCTTCTGCCTTATCTCCATTTTCCCATTCGTGTTGCCATTGTTTATTCCCCATGTCTCTTAGTTGTCTTTTTAAAAATGACGCCGGGATTAGTGCTGAGACCACCTGCGCATTATTGTTGTTTGCTGCCTCATTGGCCAGTTGATCTGCCATCTCATTGCCTGCGATCCCAGA